CCTTTACCCATTCCAGACAAATGGCTGTCCTGTCTCTTCTTAAAAGCTTCTAGCCGTGGAGCATTTACAACTTCTGGAGGCAAGTTGTTCCACTGATGAATTGTCCTCACTGTCAAGAAATTTCTCCTTAGTTCTAGGTTGCTTCTCTCCTTGATTAGTCTCCATCTATTGCTTCTTGTCCTGCCTGGACAAGCTGGAGAGACAGTGCGGTGTAGTGGTTGGAGTCTTGGACTCATCTCCGCAAGACTATTTGAACCAAACTTAATTCAGTGGTGGGATTCAAATTTTTTTTACTACCGGTTCTGTGAGCGTGGTTTGGTGGGTGTGGCAGGGGAAAGATACTGCAAAGTATCCATTCCCTCCCCACCCCACTAACCTGCTTTCCAGCTCCGTTCTCCTGTGCAGGGCAACAAAAGAAGACCCAGCCGATCAGCTGGGACTCAGGAGGCAGAGAATAGATGGGGGTGGGGCCAGTCAGAGGTGGGATTTGTCGGTTCTCCGAACTACTCAAAATTTCCGCTACTGATTCTCCAGAACTGGTCCAGGACCTGCTGAATACCTCCTCTGACCTAATCCCTCTGCTAGGTGGAAATGGAGATATGCTAGATTTGAAGACCAGGCCAGATTTACTTTTGGGGTTGCACTGCCCTTTTGACAGTGCTGTTCTTCTCACAGCCAACCTGGTCAACACTGGGAAGATTCAGACCGACACAGGATACAATTGCACAGTGTTGTGTGAGCCCAGAGGGACAGAGGCAATGTTCTGCTTTGTAGATTTGGAATAAAACACGAGCCAACCAGCAAAACTCTGAGAAAGTTTCTCCTGTGCCGTCACATGCCCCAGTTTTATCACCATTCTGAACTCTGACGGAGTCTCTTGATCCTTTAATCCTCCCTTTTAGAAACCCAGAGCTGATTTATGGGTGGTGCCAGGGAGGGGAGCCATCCAACCTTGCAACTGTCAATCAAAGCCCAGATAGGCAGAATTCAAGCACTCCCAATGCCTGAGGCAGCAAGGGGCCAGATCCAAGCTTCCAGGGAAGAATGTCAGAATGTTCATGAACTGGCAGAGACATGGTTAACAAGGTCAGCCAATGGGAGCTGAATTGGGGATGATCAGCTCCGAAGAAACAAAACGTAATTCTCCTGTTAAAAGTGAAACTAAACCTATCTGCTCTAAGCTCTGACGCTGCTGCTCGTGTTTTGACTGTAACTTTACCACGTTGGAAGAATCTACTATTGCTATTGGAAACTTTACTTAATATGTTATTATGTATATAAAGAAGTTAATGAATCCTGCTGAATCAGTCATCTGTGTATGCTTTTCTGGATTTGACTTTCCATTGCAAAATCTAACAAAGAAGCAAAGAGAAATGTCCGTGGAGATTCTCGGTCATCCAGGTCATGGCTGTCCCAAAGGTGCTTTTTCAAAATGCAACCGGACTTACTTTGTTTTTCTTTGAAGATCTTACTTTTCCTTTGTAGGAAATAAAATCAGGTTTGGTTCCAAGCTGGCGCTGGAAATAAAATGGAGGCTGGAGGCTGGTTGGAAAGAAAGTCCGTTTATTGATGGAACAGAATTGCAGCATGTAGTTCTGGGACAGCTGACAAATTAGCTTGACAAGCGCCACGATCTTTGTACAGTTTCTGAGATGCTGCTGGGGAATGTGCAATGTCTGAAATGCTCCTTAAAGGCTTACAGTGAGCTCTGTGTCTTTTGCTACTCTAAAGGTGTCGGGTTAATCCTATAATGTCCTAAAGGTCATGTCCTATTTTGAGAATTTGGACGGAGAAGGACGTACCTTTTAATTTTAAAGGTGTTTTGTTTGTGAATAGGCTGGCCTGGGATTTCTTAATGGGCACCTGCTGTGGTCTATTCAGAAAAACTGGGGTGTGGGGGGGGGTAGCTTTCTGCCTCTAAGAACATGTTTCTCCATTTCTCCTTTGGGGAAATATAATATTCCAGGGCTGGCCTGCTGCGGGTTCATACAGGTTTGGGCGATCCTCTAGCTAAATTTGGTGAACCCACAAATCCCACGCCTGGCTGGTCCTGATACAGATAGATTTGTGATCAGCTACAGAGGCCTTTGGGAAAGCCTTGCCAGCCTTGCTGGCTGCAGAAGAAATGGGCTGGCAAAACAGATGTCGGGGTGTGCGAGGCCTGACTACGACTGTCCACAGGTAAGTAGTAGGGCAGCTCCACACACCCCCCATCCCCAACCTAGTTTAATTTTTACCCGTGTACTCTGGAGTGGGAGGGTTCTTAATTAGGGCTTATTTGGGGGGTAGGGCTTATATTGGGTGCACATGTAAAAATCAAGCCAGGACTTACTTTCAGGGTAGGTCGTATTTTCGGGGAAACAGGTTAGGAACTCGAAACAACCAAGTTCCACCAGATTTGCAGAAAAGGCAGGCAATGGGAAGGGTGAGGGAAACTCCAGCATTGACTTGAAAGGGATCTCACTGGAGGAAAAGCAAGGAAACTGGAGTGGAGACCACTTAGCAGGCAGAGCTAAAAGAGAAATCAATGTTTTGTGGATATGCTGCAGAATTTAGAAGCTGCTGGCCTTCTGGAACAGTGTTTCCCAACCTTGACAGCTTGAAGTTGTGTAAAGTTCAGCTCTTACAATTCCTGAGCTGGCCAGCATCTTAAATCTGCAAGGTTGAAAAACATTGCCCTGACCATATTATCACCAAAATTGGCTTTACAATTTCCTTCTGCATGCAAAGTAGCTCCAAATATGTAGGATCTCTCTCCCTCTCTATTGTCTGTCTGTCTATCACCTATCTATCTATCAAGCCATCCACCCTCCATCTATCTATCTATCTATCTATCTATCTATCTATCTATCTCCATCTAATCTATCTTGCCCAAACAAGTAGATGTAGAGAGAGTATTTTCCCTCGTGCCATCACTTTGCTAAACATCAAATTCTCACAGTGCTGTCTTACGTCTCCGGATATTTACACATGTAGTAGGGCTGTAGTTACTATTCCTCTTTTTATCTTTACTCTCTCCTCTTATTGGCATTGTTATTATCTTGATGATTAATTATTATTTTATTGCTTTACATGTATACCGAGAGCTTATTTTGCTGGAGGCAAATTCCTTGTGTATCTAATCACACCTGGCCAAATAAAGCACTCTACTCTACTCTACTCTACTCTACTCTACTCTACTCTACTCTACTCTACTCTACTCTGTTCTGTTCTGTTCTGTTCTGATCTGTTCTGTTCTGTTCTGGTCCGTTCCATTCCATTCCATTCCTGTCCTGTCCTGTCCTGTCCTGTCCTACCCTACCCTACCCTACCCTATCCTACCCTACCCTATCCTCTCCATGTCTCTAATTACAGACCATAAGCAATTGAATCCCATGGTTACTTTATAAGAGATCAATGCACCGAAGTCTTCATCAGTGGTTTTAAATGTAGCCTTGGGTGGAAATGTAGATTCTGCTTTTTTTCCCTCTTAACTGCATGCCTCACCAATGCCATCTTGCCTTCAGAGTAACCTGCTCAGAACCACGCAGACCAAGCTGGTGAAAGTCACCACTGCCACGCGGGCATGGTTGGATGGGGAGGCAGAGATGTCATCAACATTGCAGAGATCGGTGGTACAGCAGGAGATGTTCCTTTTGAGAATGGCTATGTCCTTGTGGTACGTGGTGCACGACGAAGCACATTGCTTAGAGATGATGTGGAGCAACCCCATCAGACCTGTAGAGGAGATTGAATGGCTGTTGAGGAGGTCCAGAAGGAACCCAGGCTACCCATCCCATGTTTTGGGGTAAGGAAAAGTGCCAGACCTTCTGGAGTATTGACCATAGCAGCTCCCTAGTAGGTAGAAAATGGGACAGGATTTGTAAATTGAGAGGAAGGTTTGAGATCTTCAACCTTTTATCCTACAAGCTTCTCCCTGCTATTTGTAGCTCAGGGTTGAATGGTTGGGACCTTGGTGCTCTCTGAGGTTGGCGGTTTTCTTCCAGATGTTTCATGACCCAACTAGGGAACATTATCAGTGCTACTAGGAAGTGGGGTTTGCAAAGAGGAGGAGAAAGACAATGACTATGGGGTCTTGGTGCTCTCTAAACTTGAAGGTTTTCTTGAAGACGTTTCATGACCCAACTAGGGATTTTCAACACCTTCTAGCACTGATGATGTTACCTGGTTGGGTAATGAAAGGTCTATTTAAAAAAAAAAACAAGAGGGAGAGGAATACAATGAAAAAGAGAGAGACAGTGAGAGAGTGAAAGAGAGAGAGAGAGAAAGGGAGAGAGAAAAAGAACAAGAAAGGGTGAGAGAGAAAAAGTGAGTGAGAGAGAAGGAATGAGAAAGAGAACAAGAAAGAGAGAAAGAATGAGAGAGAAAGAGAGGGAGAGAGAGAGGAAGAGAGAAAGAGAAAGCATGAGAAAGTGAGAGTGAGAAAGAGAATGAGAAAGAGAAAAAGAGAAAGAGGCATTTTATAGCTTGGCTTACTGATCACATCTGTTTTGCACACTTTTGCCTTTTCTTTGCAGAATACCGCTCTTTTGCAGTTGTCAGTTTTGAGTTGGGTGCGGCAGGTGTAACACCAGAGCGAGCCACCTGCCAAGGAAGAGAGGAAGATTTTATCATAAGGAGACCCAGGCCAGGAAAGCCAGCATCTCTGGCTGAATAGCAGGGGTGGGCGCGCTCCATGCATGCGTGTACATACCCAAAATGCGATGCGTGCACATGCCCCATGCATGCGCGTGCATTCCCTGCACATGCACACGCCCCCCACTCCACGTGCACATGCCCTCCACATGTGAGCGTGCCCCCCGCATGTGCCCCGCGCCCTGCACATGCACAGCTGAGACCTGCACACCTGCATGGAGGCATGCATGCATGCGCGGTGCAGCTGAGCTGGGGTGATGGGGTGTGTGCCCACAGACATAGGTTCCATAGGTTTGCCACCATTGTCCTATCTCAAGGAGTATACTTAAGTTTTGGGTGTTTGTTTTTGCAAAATGTGACTTTGTCCGATTCTGAATTTGGCACCTTTTTGAAAGTCATGGTTCTGCGAATGGGCCTGAGCAACCCAGGGTTGATACAGAGTCCATCAAGCGGTTGGCCGGATGGTTCTCACAAAGTTTATTATGGTTTGTACTGGGATTTTATTCCTGTAAGACACCCAGAGGCCCAGTCAGGGGCCCATATCAATTTTCTCAACAAACAACCAAGCAAACAAAGAAATAAGGGTCCAAAAGGAGCCCGAGGCACACATCAGGAACAGGAAGGAAGGATCTGGTGAACCTAAACAACCCAGGACAGGGGTCGCCAACCGGTGGGCCGTGAGAAAGTTTTGGTTGGCTGCAGAGAAATCTCACCCCCAGAGCCACCCCCCGAAAGCAATTAATCCAGGCTGCGCAGCAACACGAGGCTGCGCCGCCCACATGGCCCAAGGAAACCCTCTCCTCCCACTCACTCCTTACCCGGCAAACTTGCCTGCTAAATTGCTATTTCTCCTTTTTCCGACTATCAGCTGTTCTGCTGTGCCGGGAGATTTAGATTAGGTCGGAAGCAGGAAATGGTTGGATTTCTTGCTTTCTAGCTAGTCTTGAGATCTCCGGCTCTGCTTTTAAGCACAGCTGAACCTCCCTTAGGACTGAAGTTTTTATTATTCAGTGCAGACTCATGGCCAACAAATTTGAGAGGATGAGCTAGCCGATGGATAAATCACTGAATGATTCTGCGAGCAACTCAATCTGCCTGCCTGCTTTGCCTGATTTTGGGTAAAAGTTGCTCTTTTTTAATTAAAAATAATCAATATTTACATACATGGTGTGTTGTGAGTTAATTCTGTGAGTTTGCTTGCTAGCAAAATTTATGAGTTTGCTTGCAAGCAAATTTTACGTGACAGATTGAGCTAGCCGATGGCAGATAGATAGATCTCTGAATGAATCTGTGATTCTGTGAGCAACTCAATCTGCCTGTCTGCTTTGCCTGATTTTGGGTAAAATTTGCTCTTTTTTTAAAAAAATATTTATATAAATATTTATAATATTTACATACAAGCCATGCCCAGCCAGTCACATGACCACCAAGCCATACCCACAAATTAGGCCACACCCACAGAACCAGTTAGTGGTTCCTGGGATCTAAAATGATGAGTTTGGTGGTCCCTGAGGTCCAAAAGGTTGGCGACTCCTGGCCTAGGAAAAGCGTTGCTGAAATGGAAGAAAGATCAGTTAGAAGAGGGGGCTTCAAGCCAGAATTTGGAAGAGGGGTAGAGGTCTTTTTGCTGAGCCCCTCGCTCAATGCAGGAGTCTACTAATTCGTGTTTCTCCAAAAACTACTTCATGTTTTCCCGACCCTGTCTTATAAGTTTTTGGCTACCAAAAAGGGCACCAGGTCTTATTTTCAGGGTAGATTTTTGGTCATCCATTGACTCAGCTCATTTGCGTGCATTATCCCCGACCTCCTTTTCACTGTCAGAGGTTTTCAGGAACTTGTTCTACGGATCGATCTGTTATTGGCAGCAGAGGCCTTCAGGGAAATCTTGCTGGCTTGCCTGCCGCAGAAGAAATGGGCCCGCAAGGCAGGTGTCAGGGTGTGCGAGGCCTGGCTGCATCTGTCTGAAGGTAAGTAGTAGGGCAGCTCCACCCCCCCATCTCCACCCTAGCTTCATTTTTACCTGTGCACCCTGGAGTGGGCAGGGTTTTAATTAGGGCTTGTTTTGGGGGGTAGGGCTTATATTGGGCACACAAGTAAAATCAAGCCACGGCTTACTTTCAGGATAGGCCTTATTTTCAAGAAAACGTGATAGATCACAGTTTCCCAACCTCTCTGGCTTTGTGGACCGGCAGGAGGAGGGGGGAAGAAGGGATGGTTTTATTCCAGTGGTGGGCACCCATGCACCCACTACTCGCACAAATGGAGCACATGTGCGCTCGCCTGCTGTTTATGCAAGTGGGTATATGCGTGTGCTCACCCAACTGTGGCCCAGTTCTGAATGGTTCAAGGCCTGGCAGTGGGCCACAGCCTGGGGAGCTAGGGAGCCCTTTACTAGATTATCTGGTCACCACACTATAAAAAAGATGTTGAGACTCCAGAAAGAGTGCAGAGAAGAGCAACTAGGATGATTGGGGGACTGTTTTTTCTTTTGAAGACATTTCCCTTCTGATCTAAGAAGCTTCTTCAGCTCTGACTGGACAGTGGGGAATGGAAGGAGTTGAAGACAGCTGGTCATTTGCATCCTTTTAGAAAGTTGTTGAGACTGCTCGAAGTTTTACTAATACTAATTACCACTCTATAAACCCTTAATAAGGCCATACCTAGAGTGGTCCATCCAATTTTGTTCACCACACTATAAAAAAGATGTTGAGAGTTTAGCAAAAAGTACAAAGAAGAGCAACCAGGATGATTAGGAGACTGGAGGCTAAGGCATATGAAGAATGATTGCAGGAACTGGGTCTGGCTAGTCTGGTGAAGAGAAGGACCAGGGGAGACATGATAGTGGTCTTCCAAGATTTGAGGGGCTGCCACAGGGAGGAAGGGGTCAAGCTATTTTCTAAAGCATCTGAAGGCCAGACAAGGAATAATGGATGGAAACTGACCAAGGAGAAATTCAACCTGGAAATAAGGAGAAATTTTCTGACAGTGAGAACAATCACCCAATGGAACAGAAGTTGCCTTTGGAAGTTGTGGGAGCATCATCACTGGAGGCTTTCAAGAAGAGACTGGACTGCCATTTGTTAGAAATGGTGTAGGGTCTCCTACTTGGGTGGGGGGTTCGACTAGATGACCTACAAGGTCCCTTCCAACTCTGTTAATCTGTTATCGCTGACAAATAACCACGGAAACTTTTAATATTTATCAAAAGAGAGAGCGAGAGAGAAAGGAAACAGCGTGGCATGGAAAGATCAAATTGGCTCTGGAAACAACTAACACTCTGTGAAAGTGCCTTTTAAGATCTAGCAGGATAGTTCTTGACTTATGACCGCAATTTGTTTATTTAGAATACATAAGGATAATGGTTAATGAATTAAGAAAAGGGATTCCGCATTGATATGAGGGGTAATAAGAATGTATTTGCAATTACAAGTTATTTAGACAATAGGGGAATATAGACCATTGATAGGGGGAAGGGCACTGATATTTTTTTCTTAATAGATAAATGTATGTTCTTTTTTTATATATGTTGTGACTGGAAGGATTGACCCTGCTGGGAGTTTTGACTCTGATGCCTCTGAAGATGGAAGGTTTGAAATGAACTGAGAAGATGTTTAGAATTAAAGTAATATTAGTGAACAGGATTAATTTGTTTGTTCCTTTTCTTAATTAATTAAGTTAAAAATGGATAAGATAGGAAGTTGAATGTAGAAAATGAATAGATAATTATTGTCATATTAGCATGTAAAAGTGGTAATCCGGAATTATGTTGTAGACCGAAAAGAGCTTTTTTATTTCTCTTTGTTTTGGAAAAATTGAATAAAACTTGTTTGTTTATTTTTTTAAAAAAAGGAATGGTTGCATGTCAAGGACTACCTGTCAACTCAATTGGCCAGAGGGCGGCAAAAATGCAGGAATTAAAAAAAGCACCTTAATTATTGCTGAAAACAAGAGTACGATGAGATCCTTGAAGATAAGCGCCCAGCTCTTAATGGTCACTTCAGGCTACTGTGGGTAAGGCTCCCCAGTCCTGCCTTGATCTCCAAGGCATTTTTGGGGCTGCTTGGCAGGAAAAACAGGACTCCTGGCTTTGGAGGAGGCCTCTGTGGGCGTTGTACCTGAGTAATAACTCTCAAAGCCTTTCGCAGGTTTTGCAGGCGAAGAGCAGGCCGAGCTGAGGGGTGGAGTCAAATGACTCATTAGCCCAGAGGCATTACGTTCCCACAAATGGTTTAAACCCATCCCTGCTTGAATTCCTTTGGCCGATAGTTGTCTAGAGTCTTGCATATAGAACTGAGCGATAAATCAGCTTAACTGGAATTGAATGTGTGGTCCTGAATCTTTAAAAAAAAAGGCTCCTAAAAACACTGGTTGAGCGTTCCCTAGATAGAACAATAAGGTGGTTTTTTCCCCTTCCCTTCCCTTCCCTTCCCTTCCCTTCCCTTCCCTTCCCTTCCCTTTCCTCTTCCTTTCCTTTCCTTTCCTTCCCTTCCTTCCCTTCCCTTTCCTTTCCTCTTTCCTTTCCTCTCCTCCTTCCTTCTTGGTGCTCTCTGAGCTTGGCGGTTTTCTTGCAGAAGTTTTATTACCAAACTAGATAACAATATCTTGTTTTCCTTTCTTTCTCCTTCTTCTTTCTTTTACCTTTCCTCTCTTTTCCCCTACATTTTTTTTTGTTTCATTTCATTTCCCCTTTCCTTCTTTCCTTCTTTCCTTTCCTTTCCTCCCATCCCCATCCCCAGTAACATCCTATCCTATCCTATCCTATCCTATCCTATCCTATCCTATCCTATCCTATCCTATCCTATCCTGGTTTAGCACTCTTTTAAAGACCACCATAGCTATGTTTTGAAGCAGGACCAGCTCTCTTTGGAAAGAATGCCAGTAACATGTTGCCAAGAAGAGTGATTGAAACAGAAAAAGAGTTTTAGGGGAAGTTTCGATTACTCAGATGTTTAATTGGGGTTGTGCGTCAGTTATGCCCTTTCCTGGGCCAACAGTTCCTGCTCACCTATGTCCTAGTCACCTCTTGTCTGGACTACTGCAATGAGC